GATTCCTCACAAACGTCCGACACTTGCTGCAGTCCCCGTGTGCTGACCAGGCTTGGGAGAGCAGGCCAGGTTGGCGGGGACACAACTTCTTTGTTACTCTTGTTTCCCACCACACCATCCCTCTCACCACAAAGGGTCAGTCAACGCAGATTGCCTTCACAGGCATTTGACCAAGGACTGCCACAGAATCCCTAGGCTGGCCTGGAGAAATTGATGGAGTTCCTCTGAGTGTCTTTCTTTTCTTTTTTCATATATTTTTATTGATTTTTGAGAGGGAGAAATAGAAACATCAATGATGAGACAAAATCATTGATTGCTGCCTCCTGCCTGCACGTTCCCTACTGGGGATCGAGCCTGTAACTCAGGCATGTGCCCTGACTGGGAATGGAACCATGACCTCTTGGTTCATAGGTTGATGCTCAACCACTGAGTCCTACCAGCCAGGCACGGAGTGCCTCTCTTGCAGCCAGGGGAGTCTGAGTGATACTGGACTCTTCTTTAAGTTCTTAGCACACGTCTTATGCCCTTTATGTCTTTGGGGAGAATGTCTGTAGCTATGAAAGGAGTCCAGAGTTCTGACCTGCTGGAACCAGCAAATAACTGGGAAATTCTTACATCTTTTTTCCATTAAGACACTAAGTGCTACTATCATTAACAAGTACATCTGATACATCAGCAGTTACAGATGGCTTCTGCAGCAGGTGTTAAGTAAGTGAGAAGAGAGGCTGGGGATGTGATCACTTAGCCCAGACTCATTCTACAGCCCTCTGGCCAGAGAACCGACTGCAGAAGTAATCTGAGGGTTTCATTTTCCTTGTCCAGAGCAGTGTCATGTTTGGAAATACAGGCCCCTTGGGTTTTATGGCTCTTTGACACTCACAGTTTGGGTTTATTTTCCTTGTTCTCTGGAACGGGTTGTTTTTGCTCCTTCCACTCCATCAACAGAGACAGTTTTATGAATACACTGCATCTTGATCAGTCTGGCTGTAGAGGACTCATCCATTTCTAAGTCAGCAAGCAGGGAGCTCTGTGCGCCCTCAGCAGGACCAGCCACTGTCGTCATTGTAAATGCAAGAGGTAGAGTGAGGCCTCAGACAATCCATAAGTGTCACCCCGCAACTCAGTGAGGGGCTACCAAGGTAAAGGAGGTGTTTTTATCCCTGGATTTTTAGAGGTAAAAAAACCTAAGTCCCAAAAAAGGTTAGCCATCTTTCCCAGCTAGTGAACCCAGGTTTTCTCACCTCCAGATCTGCATTCTTTGCCACTAGCTCTCAGGGACACACACTGAGACCTGCATGGCCCCGCCTTTTGCCCTTCCTGCAGTTCTCTGTCAAACATGACAGACTGCAATGACGGTCCTTTGCAAGCCTCTTTGCTCCGCTGCTTGATTCACTTTCACCTGGTTTTTCCCTGCTTACCTTCAGGGGTGGACAAAAGTGGGCTTACGGTTGTGAGTACATGAAATACAGAGTTTTTTCCTTGTATTATTATTTATTCATGATTGTATGATTTTCCATATGAACAAGTGTATACCTACTTTTGCCCTCCCTGTATAACAGAAACACTATACTCGCTGTTGCTTCCTTGGCTTCCATCTTCACATCCCAGACTGAGAAGCATGAGGCCAGGTGAACTCTCACAGGTGTGGGAAGAACCTTGCTAGTCACACTGTGAATGCCTGTTGTGCTTTGTAATTCACAAAGCATGTCCACATTGTCTTGTCTCACCCTCACAACTACGCTAAGAATTTGGTATCTTGGAAAGAAAAGGTGGGTGGCAGGCAGCACAGCACCAGTCCATTCATCTCACTCTGTGGTTCTGACTACAGGAATGTCAGTGCCTTGCTGAACAGAAGTGAGTATAGGGATATGTTTATTTATCGTCTAACAAATGCACACATTTCACATAAGGCAAAGCCAAAACCAGCAAGGAGGAGGACAGAGGGGTCTGATGCATTGAATCCACACTTAGGAAAAGCTAAACTTCTGATTAAGTATTTGTTTCTTGAGACAAAATTTCATTGTCCCTCTTAAATGTATGCGCATGTGTAATGAAACAACCAAAAGGAAGATGCAGGCAGGAGAGGGGAAGAGAGGGTCCTCCGAACCCTAGCTGGTCTTTCCTGGGACAATAAACAACCATCTCCACTAACTTGGTCCCACTGGTCATTTCCTCCTTGCCTGTTTTGATAGAATTCCTGCATACACTTGGCTGTTTCTCCAATGATGAAGCCAAGTAAGCTTTGCTATGGAAGTATGATAAGTAACGCTGTGGAGGAGGGTGCGCAGGAAGTTAGAGCTTCACAAGATGGACAGAACCAATGTCATCACTGTGCCTTCCTGGGCAGACAGCTCCATGCCGCCTCCTGGCTCTGCTTTCTCCTACCCAAGCATCTGAGCATCTGCCTACCATAGACAGACAGCTGGACCCACAGATGAGGGAATCATGGGTTAAGGGTCTCTGACGTAGAGCTTTAACACTTCCAGACACATTGCATTTGCTAGGTTTGTGCTAAAACATCAAAGAGCCCCAGGAATGCTTCCTTTAGTAACAGGAACAGGACAAAGGTGGTGAGTTTCTGCTCTCAGCCACTTTGGAATTAGCACCACTGTGTCCTGTGCATGGGGGGTGGTCGAACAGGATGAGCCTTCGGGGGAGAGCTTGAGGGAGCCTTGTGGTTATGATTGATTCACATTTTGGTGTTAGGGGAGCCATCTCATCAGGCCCCTTGGAACCACAGGGCTTTTCTGTGTCACGGCTGTAGAATCAGCAGTTCAGTGCCCATGCATCCACAGCTGCATGACCCCAGAGCTGTGATCCATTTTATGCTCATTTCTGCCTCCTAGCCCATCTTCCGCGAAGGTGTGAATTCATCCCTCACAAGAGCATCATGGTTTCAGCTCATTCTGTAAACATGTTTTCAGCCTCTTGCTGTGTGAGCTGGGCACCTGTTCAAGATGCTAAGGATATAATGACAAATTGTTCACGGTCTTTGTTCTCCAGAGGAGCCGGCTATGTAAACAGGAGGCTCAGTTCGGAGTCTTCAGAGCGCAGTGACGTTGTCTGTAAAAGTGAGATAATAACAGTGTCCACATCACAGGCTTGTTGTGAGGATAAAATTGGTTAGAAATCAAAAGCATAGAACAACATGGGGCACATAATAGGCCTGGTGTAAGTGCTGGCTCTGATGACATACTGACAATGTCAGCACTGACATCCGCATGCCCAAGTGGGTCCCGTGGGTGCAGGATGGAAGGAGTGATGTAACAATCACGGAAATTTTTCAGGAGAGGACATTTTTGAGCTGGATCTTGAAGGTAGAGTAGGAATTGACCAAGAAGACAGAAGAGAGAAAGTTCCAATTTGAGGGAAAGTGACAAAGGCCCAGGGGTATGGAAATGCCAGGTGATTTAGGGAGCTCAGAGGTTCAGGAGTGAGGACAGTGCCTGTGGGAACAGGAGTGAGGGCAGTGCCTGTGGGAACAGGAGTGAGGGCAGTGCCTGTGGGTTCAGGAGTGAGGGCAGTGCCTGTGGGTTCAGGAGTGAGGGCGATGCCTATAGGTCATGATCAAAGGGAAGAGGGTCCATGGGGGCTCACCTTGGTTTCTCTGTGAAATAGAAGAGGTGGCCACTGAGCATGGGGAGCCAGGGAGGACGGCAACCGTCCTGTGAGAATGTGAGGGACAAAGGCCACCTGGTAGGAGTGAGCTGGGGATGGAGACTCAATTTGGGGATGAGCAAATAAGTGAAATCTAGGGGAGAAAAGCAGTACATGTGGTAAGAAAGGCTGATCAGAAGTAAGATGGGAGAGGCTATTTCCACTGGAGGAACCGAGTGGACTTCAGGGAGGTGAAGTGTGGACATGAGGAGACGAACTGATCAGCAAGGAGACCGTGGGAGCCTTGAGTGCTCTGTCAAAGCTGAGCTTTAGTCCTAGGTCACTGGCAGGTTTTAAACTGAGGAGCGACATGGTCAGATTTGTGCTCTAGGATTGTAATTTTGGCAGGACTGCGGCGGTTATACTGCCACCCTCAAAGCACACAGATAGTTGGAGGAAAACCTAGGGCCTCAAAGACCAAGAGTTGAGCCCGGCACTGCTCCCAGCATGAGCACCAGGTGTGAAGTGGACTGTACTTGCCCACCTCTCTCCCTCCGCTGCCTCCTGGCCATGCAGCCTGCAACCAGAACAACTCAGCCGTGCCTCCTCCCCCGACCCCCTCCCCATGCTAGATGATGTCCAGGAATGTAGGGTACAGCAGAAGACTGCAAGGTCATCCTAGAGACGCTATGAGGGCTGGTCTAACCCTAAGTGTCCCCCGATTCAGGGCATCTCTGGGAAGTTTCAGTGCCACTGTCATGGAACCAGGGGGTTGGGTGAGGGCCAGTTCCATTGGGCCCCCGAGTGCCTGTTGGAGCCTTCCTACAGTTTGAACAGCGCACCATGGATGCCATGTGAATGGGTGGGCCAGGCCAGCCCCCATGCTCACAGCTCACCCCCATACCAGGCACCAGAGCTCTCTGTGACAGCAGATCCTCCCAGGTGTGGAGATTATCCCCAGGTTACAGATGAGGGGATGGAGGGTGCATCGTTAAAGTCACTGGTGGAGTGGTGGCTGTTAGTAGACTTGAACCTAGGGCTGACTTCCAATATCTTGCCTGTTAGAAAGTGCCAACTAAAAGGATATGTTCACATCATGATAGCCAAGTTGTAGGCATCATGGGGCATCCTAGAGCAGGTCTCAAAGGTCCATGGGTTTCCCTGAGCATTCACATAATAACAGCTGTGTGGCAGGCACCACTAATGCCTGCATCCCGAGGGCCCTTGCAGCCAGAACACGTTAAGCAGGAAAGGAGATGATGGGTGTTTGCTGAGAGCGCTCATCCTGCTGTGTCTTCAGTGGGTGCATTTTATCCCTGAAAGCCACAGCCCAAGGTAGGCCTGTGCAACGTTCTGGGTTTCTTACCCCAAAACTCACACCTGTCTCTCACCTTCTGCCACAGATCCTGGAGCCCCTGTGAAATTGCCTTGTCTGCCAGTGAAACTGTCACCTCCGCTACCTCCAAAGAAAGTCATGATCTGTATGCCTGTAGGAGGGCCAGACCTCTCGCTGGCATCCTACGCAGCCCAGAAGAGCGGCCAGCAGGGTGGGGCCCAGCACCACCACACGGTCCTGCCGTCCCAGATCCAGCACCAGCTGCAGTATGGCAGCCTTGGCCAGCACCACCCCTCCGCCAGCGGCTCCCTCCCCATGCACCCCTCCAGCTGCAGGATGATAGACGAGCTGAATAAGACGCTGGCTATGACCATGCAGAGGCTGGAAAGGTAATGGGGGGCGGGGGAGGGGGTGGAGGATGGAGGATGTACTTGGCTGGGGAAGAGGAAGAAGAAAGGCTGGGTATTTGATCATGATACAGGGCTGTGAAGGCTACTGGGGGAAAAGCTTGAAAGTAAAATCAGACCAAAATCTGAATGTCAAGGAAAGTATAGGGAAAAACACACACAAAAGAATCATATTGGCCAATTGCCAAACTATGTAACAATCACATTTATCAAAAAGAAAAAGTGACATATATGTTAGCACATATTATATTTCTACTAGACGCCCGATGCATGAAATTTGTGCAAGGGGTGTGGCCCTCACAGCCCAGGCTTCGTCCGGAAGGTCATCCAGAAGGATGTCTGGAAGGTCATTCGGCTGTCGGGTCTAATTAGCATATGATGCTTTTATTATAGATAGGCCTTAACATTTCTTGAAAGTATAAACACATAGCCCAACCAGTGTGGCTCAGTGGTTAAGTGTTGACCTATGAGCCAGGAGGTCACAGTTCGATTCCCGGTCAGGGCACATGCCCAGAGTGTGGGCTCAATCCCCAGTAGAGGGCTTGCAGGAGGCAACCGATCAATGATTTTCTCTCATCATTGATGTTTCTGGCTCTCTCTCCCTCTCCTTTCCTCTCTGAAATCAATTTTCTTAAAAAATTTTAAAGAAAGTATACACACATAATCATTAATAGTACTTAGCCCTAGGTCAGGGAGTAGGGGAGAAAATTGTTTGTTTTCCTATTTCATATCTTCCTGTACTGCTTAATTTTTTATTTTATAGATATTACTTTTGTGATATAAAAAATGCCTATTTGAACATAAAATAAGAAAATACAAGAGCTGGCAGAATGGCGGTGGGAAACCAGAGGGATGGGAAAAGTGGAGAGTGCCCTGTTCTTGCCAGTGGAGGAGGCGGAGCACGGCAGTCTGCTTAGATGCGTGTGAGCCTCTAATGTTCAGCAACTGGTGCAGCCCCTCTTTCACTAGAATCTGCTTCCAATGGCATTGCTGGGGGGTCTGCCAAGAGAAACCCAAGGGCAGACCTTCAGCAAAGACCCTGATCCCCACCACCTGGGGAGAGCTCTCATGCTGGTTCTGAATGGCTCTGATGTGCGTGTGCATGTGTGTGTGTGCACGTGAGCACGAGCGGTACATGAGAGTGTGTGTGTGTATGTGTTTGTATTCAAACACCACCCTTCTTGTGCCCAGAGGTGCCTAAAATTTCCAACTATCATTCCAAGGCGTGTTGCCTGACCTAGTTCTCTGGCCTGACAAGAAGAAAGTGGCGATCTGGTGGGAAGGGTGTGTCTGAGCTGGGACCCTTAATGCCTGTCCTAGGTTAGTGACCTCTGTTAACTGGGCCCTATGGGAGGAAGATGGCACTGTGAGGTTCCAGCTGATCACCAGGCAGAGAGCCAGGGACAAGAAGGACGCTTCAGGAGCTTTCTGGTGCAGTTTCCCAACTGCCTCTAGGCCAAGCATTCTGTATTTGGGAAATTGTTGGCTCAAGGGAAGTCACTGCCACTATGTATGCTAACTTCATTGTGCCACATTAATAGCTTCCTTCACAGAAGAACAAAAAAAATGTATTTGGCCCCTTGTCATAATTTTCAACTACTGTTATGATAATGAGGACAATGCAAATTTAACATGTGGATGACACTTTTTAGTTGATTACACACCTTTGTTATCATCTGAATCCTCACACTACCTTGCTAGACTAAGTGGAGAAACTAAGGAAGGCTGAGTTCCCCAAGGCCAGCTACTCAAAGAGTGATCCGCAAACTGCTTGTTGCCCATCTGCAGCCAGATAGATGAGAGCCAGCCTTTACACACGTTTATGACCATTTGACAGGCTAATGTTATGTCTGTTGAATCTTATAATAAAAAAGAATTTAACTTTTTATATTTATTATATTTTACAAAAACATCCATTTGTGATGGATTGAAAATTAAAGTATGTAAATAAGCCAACCAACCAACAAAAGTGGCCCTGCCCCATAGACATACTGGCAAGCACTGCCCTCAGTAGTCCTTCAAGGCCATGCCTTCCAGCCCGGGTCTTCCTGCTACACATCCAGAACTCTTTCTACTCTAGTGCAACTGCTTTCCCAAAGGCAGCTCATGGTGAGCGTAATTTCCTGTCCCCATGTCTACTATACATCCAGTAAGTTTTATATCTCTTGGGAGCTTTAATCAACTGAAAAAGATACTCAGGACAGTATACTAGGAGAATATTGCTAAATACATTTCCATTAAAGTATGATATTTTCAAAGGTTCTGTTGAAAGCACTGCCCAACAAGTTACACAGTGTTCCTTGGTTCAATAATTTCTGTGTATTCATAGAATATTTCAGTTCACTGTAGATCAATGGGTAGGTTTGTTGACCTAAACCGAGGCAGGTTCTTTATCAAAATGAATCCTTGAGAACAAATCGGGGTGGCGGGAGGGGACGTGTTGTGATATTATGGGAGGTGGGGGTGGACAGGAAGACAGCATGATTTGGCAGCTGAGCCTAGGCAATCCCCAGGCTCTTCTTACCTCCTCTGTCTCCTCCCGCCTCATCCGAGGTCAAGGCCTAGGGTTGTTCTGATAGACCAGCCAGGACATAGGGCATGAATGCATATATCACTTTAGCAAGGTTGCCCTTCAGAAAAAGGAAGCCTTTATTCCCAAACAAATACAGATTGGGAGATTTTTCTGAGCATCCACATTGTCTTCCAGGAGTCCTGACAGGACCTGGGAGCAGAACAAGGTCACAGGCCACCTGTCAGTTGAGTGAGGGAACTGCCACTATCTCCAGTGATGTTGCCATTTTTTTATTTTCTAAGAATTCTCCCTGTCAACATGACTTCATTCTTGTTCTTACCAAGTTTAATACAGAAGGGAACAATTATTTTCTCTCTTCTAGCAATTTCCAGTAACCCAAAAAAATACCACGAGAAGAAAGAAACATTACCGATCACTTTGGCACTCTGCCTCCAAAGGCCGAGTCCCAGAATGTCACCTGTAGGGCATTAGCCCAGACTTCCATTACGACTCTAATGAAACACTATAGTTAACAAGAAAATTTAATGAAGAATTAAACAGCTTTAATATCTGACTTCAGAAACCATACATTTGAATCAATAGTCATATTTTAATTAAAATGGACCTTGAGGACCAGGCAAGCAGCCCACCATTGCAGTGTTCCTGGTCATTTGTCTTCTAGTCTCTTAGAGAAAGGGAACCTCCTTAGGTCCCAAGATAGCCCATTCCATTATCAACAGGTCTGATTATTACAAAGTTCTTTATTACATTCAGCTAAAATGTTTACTTATTATAACCCCCGGTCTTATTTCTAATCTTCTTTTACTGTGAAAGGCTTTCAAATCCTTGAAGATAACCACCATTTACTTTATCTATCTTCCCTCTTCTATACTAATAATCCCAAGTTCATGTAATCATGTATTGAGATGGTTTCTAGACCCTTTACTATCTTATATTCTCCCAAGATTTTTAAAAATCTGTTCTAATTTGTATGAGGTTCTCAATCATTACCCTAATCTGAACCCTGCTTGATGACATGAAAAAATGACATGTTAGATAGGGACAACATTGACTCACCAGATTTGATGGGACAGTGCTGAAGGAGAGAACTAGAGACTGGCTGAAGCAAAGTTAGAGAGTTCCATATTTATCCAATGTTACAGGGCTGCCCTAGGCAGTGTGGCCACGATGGAGACAGCCCCCCACCATGGCTGAGTGCATGGGTTCCAGAATCTAACCGCCAGGGTTTCCGTCTCAGAGATGTCACTTCCTTTTGCCTTCGATTCCTCGTGTTTAAAACAGGAATATTAATAACAACCTCATTAGAGTTGTTTGTGAAGAACAAGTGACTTAATTCAAATCACTCATCTTATTGAGTAGCATAACAGTAAGTGTCCAAAAAATAGTGTCCCATAAAAATGTATACACAGTTTAACAGCTGATAGCTCGATTTTGAAAATGAAATGTATTTAAATAAATATTGTCTTTATAGTTATTCAAAGTGTGTATACATTTTTTTGGAGCACCCTATAATTTGGAGCAAAATTTTATAGCACACAAAAGTTGCCTGCAGCCCAGCCAGCATGGCTCAGTGGTTGAGCATTGACCTATAACCAGGAGGTAATGGTTCAATTTCAGTCAGGGCACATGCCCAGGTTGCAGGCTTGATGCCCAGTAGGGAGTGAGCAAGAGGCAGCCAACCAGTAATCCTCTCTCATCATTGATGTTTCTATTTCTCTCTCCCCCTCCCTTCCTCCCTGAAATCAACAAAAATATATATTTTTAAATTGCCTTTAGTGCCCCTAAAAGGCATATTGCAAATCTATCTTATTGTAGATTTTGTTTGTATCAGTTTCCTCAAATTAGATTGTTTTCATTTGTTTTCTCCCTAGTGATAATTCATATATTTTTTGAAGATGACATTTCATCATCTCAAATATTATGCAATATTTATTTTTAATATCTGCAGTAAGCTCTGTGATCTAGTTGGCATCAATCTAGGAATTCAGGCTTCAAATCCTAATCAGCCACTATTTTCATTCCCATCTTAATTCAGTTGATCAGTTCTACTAGCTGGGAATTAAATTACTACCTTCAAGAATATTGAGAATATAATAATTTCAAAAATGGACAGAAAAAATTGAAATCAGTAGTCCCCAAAATTCCTTCAATCTCTACAATTCTCTTATTCCATAAATATTTTAGGCATTTCAAAGAGTGCACATCATTCATTATCCTAGTATAGTCACATTTCATGGTGACAATGATTTTCTTCATGTGACCTCAAAGGTCACAGGAAATTCTAACGATGAATTCTTGGTCCTGAATTTGATGGGTTTCTTGTAGCCCTAACAGTCTGACATTTGCTGCATTGGCTTATGTTAATGACGTTTCCACCTGCAAATAAGAGTGTCCCAGGATGATAAGCAGAGGTGCATTGGTGCCCTAGCAAGAACTAAACTCTGAATGG